GGAAAAATTAAAACCATGAAGGCACTGAGTGATACAAATGAATTAAACAAGGCAGAGAAATATCATAACAAATGCTATCCTGCCACACAACTCACCAGTATTTTAAAGATAATGCTATTATATTTCCACCAGAGCCAGCAGTAGATGCAATAATCTTTGGATAAGCTCCTCTGCCTCCTGGCAGATTGTTGAGAAGGAGATGGAGGCACGACCAACACCTGAAGTTACTCTGAGGGTGATGAAGGCACAGTGTAGTCCAGCCCCAATTTAGGTATTGATGATGCACATTGGAAAATATCTTCTCTTTTAAAGCTTTGGTAGCAGCGTTTCAGATTCAAGGCAAATGCTAGGTCTATATTATTAGAGCAACTTTGGTTATAGGGCCAGGGAGAGCTGCAAGATGTAACAGATCTGGTCCAGTCATTTATAGGTGGAACTAAATTGCAGCACATGCCACTCTTTCTGTCCTTTTCACTAATCCTCTTTGCTCTCTCAACACTATTCACAAATGCTAAGTTCACTGACAGCAAAGCTTGCTTTTTCGCATGGTGTTTCACAGAGTTTCTCCATACATTCCCAGGGACTTGCAAACCACAGGTTGAAAATCATTAATCTCTCCCTTTGCAGACACCTTGCACAAGCTAAGACCATCCCTGCTGCACAATCCCTTGTGGCTTCCTTAAACAATTGCCATCATGTGTGATCAAGCTGCCTTTGCACAGAAGATGATGCACATCAGCCACACCACTGCCTTGTTAATAGCCGTGCAATTCTCACCCTCTCCGTTGCAGAAGGCCACTGTTTTTGCCATGCCTTGTACGCACTGACCAGCAGTTCAAGTAATTCACCAGCCGGAGGAAGCTGTTGACTTCACTCTTCAAACCTATATTCTCTGTGTTTACAAAACAAATCTTCTTGTGCTGTTATAACTCCATTAATGAGTTTCTCCCGGAAGGCTAGGGAAGCACTGGGAGATAACAGATACCCTACCTACTGCCAGTCATCACCTTGAACCCGTTGCTTAGCCTGTGCTGTTTCTCAAGACCACTGATCTTACCACACCCGGGATGTTTTCAGGAGCCACCCTTACCTACCCCCAGGGGTTCCAGAGCAGTGCTTTGTGAACCACAAAGCGATTTACTAAGGCAGACCAAGCAGGTCACAGCTGTCAAGTCTTGTCAGCTCCAGGCACTGAGCACTGGACTGCTCCTCAGACACACTCCTCTGTACTGTGAAACTTTTGAGAGGACTTAATTTCAACGATCAGCCATCTCACTGCGACTTGTGCAGCTTGGCAGCTCACCTTTCTTAGGCACTATCCACAGAACTGACTTTCCTAATTCTTTATTTATTTTGTTTTATTTTTTTTCTGCGTACTGGGTAGTACATGTGACTTCCTGAACAGAACAGCTCCTCCTCCTCGGGATCATCTTGCTCAGAACCATCCACTGTTTGGACCTTTTTTCCCGGTGATTTCTGGACGACACTCTTAACCTCCTCCGGTACAATGCAATCCCCATCACCATCCTGCTTGTAAGGGTCTATATTTTGAATATTGTGTTGTCTTTAGGGTGCCTTTTCCCGAGACCATCAAATGTTCAGCATTGGTGATCTAGACTCTGCCTTGTAGTACTTTCTTCTTAGTCCTTATTATTTTGAATACCTCTCTCAGCTTGAAAAATCTGATGATAATTCTGCAATTTCAAAGTTCCTGGCAAATTGGTGTATTTCCACCTTAGGTGTTTGCTTGCTTTTTCTGCAAAGTTTTGGAGGTTTTCCCACTCATAGTATGTGTGCCTCTTCAGAGTGTCCACTGCCTCTGCCTTTTCGCAGGCTGGGGTATCTTCTAATTCCAAGGGTACCTTTGCCACTTTCGTAGCATATTCAAGGCAGAACTTTTCAGGGCTAATTTAATTGCCTGTAGATACTCCTCTGCGCTTTGTTCTGGGCACATGCCAAAAGCTTGCATCTCACTGTCTTCTCACAACCCAGTTTTGTCATAGGTCTTTCTGGCATCTTCTGTTAATATCTTGATTTGCCTTCGCTGCTCAAGCTGCTATGAAGCAACAGGAGATTTCCTGGAAACTTTGTCACTGAGATAATCAAGGGGCAAGTGAATTTTCAGGGAAGAGTCACTCGTGATACTGTCAATACCAGGTGGAATATCTTAGGTCAATTTTCTATTTAGCTTGAACATTATAATGCACATGCAGATGCTGTCGTAGAAGCTTTTGAAGAGAAACAGTCATTCACTTTTTAGTTTCTAGCTCCACAGCTGCACTTACTCCTGCAAGCTGCCAGCATCTGGATATTCCAGTCAGCACTCAATACACAAACATCTCTCTCACGCTGCTCTCTAGACCCTTGCCCTCGTAATGGAACGATTTGATCTCCTGAAGCATACAGGTAATATGACTGGATTTCATGCAGGTGAAGTACACAACAGACACAGAACAGCTAGCCTCTGAGCTCCTCCAGCACCTTTGGAAGGTCTTCAGAAACAGAACCTGTATGTGACAGAGTCATGGTGGTCTAGGAGAACACTCTGCTTATCAGTTCCAAACATCACTAACTTATAACAAAAACCTAAATTTTAAAAACCCCAAAACTAAAACTTCAGAGACACATTACAAAATAAATGAAGATTTTTACTTTGTACAATATTGTTCTGTATAAACTCTTTGCAGAAGCATCTAGTTCAGAATAGGCATGACTTTTATGAAAAGTACAACAAATAATCTAATCTTAACTTACATACCCTATGATAAAAAAACATTTTGTGAGTTGGAGGAGCACTGGGCAGAGGAGACAAGCACAGAATCATATGGCAAACCAAAGGCATTATTCATTATTTAGTAGACCTTCTGTAATACAACTCTGAACATCATTGACTTATTTATGAAGTGCAGTAAGAAAGAAATGGAATACGTGTGTGAAGAAAATAAGGTTTCATATTCAACTAATATGCTAGCTAAAATTGAAACTAACAAACATGAGCTGAAAAGATGCCATAATGTTCTCAGCTACTACTTGGGAAACATTAACTGAAAAACACCAAAGCGACTGAAGGAAGGCGCGTATGGTAACTCCGAAAGATGACACCCAGCTTCTGGTTTCTCAGGCCACCGGAGAGCTTGTGTGTTTCAGGCCGCAGGAATAAGAGCTCCGCTCTGCATGAAACTCATCCTTCTCCTGAGCGTTCACGGCGAACCATCCACACCATTGCCAGACTTGGCACTGACAGAGATTTGGGCTGGCACCACCAGCACTAAGCTACAATAATCCTTTGAAATAAAACTTGCCACCAGGCAGCAGGAAGGTGGCTCAGAATGCGAGATCCTGTTCTCCACACTTGCCTGGCCGTGAGACCCTGCTGACACTGTCAGCGGTGATGCAACGAGTGCCAAGGCTGATGGCAGCTGAGATACCTAAGATGGCCTCGCAGGTCGCCTGAAGGACAGTGTAATGCCCAAGGGCTCTGCTTTTGTCTCTGCTTTATCTCAGAAATGGAAATCAGTCCCTATTACCAAGGCTGCCATCATAAGTCTCTGGATCTCGTGATTCTTCACGTAAACTTCAGGGATCATTTCGGGCCTTCACATGTCGCTTCATAGCCAGTTAATGATGCTTGAAGTTAGTGTCAGTGTATAGGGGAGTATTCTAGTTTGCTTAACCTTGAGCAGAATGAATCTTTAAAGTGACGATACAAAGAAACCTAAAGTGTTGCTGGTGAGCGTACAGTTAAATAATTTATTTTCTCTATTATTCATTTCACACACTAAACCATAATAATTTTTGCTCTAATTGCTTGCATTTGCTACTTTTCAAGTTAGTAGCTTTCTTTCCTTTTCTAAGTCTCACTTTTTCTGGAAGTGACAATGGAACAGCTGAGTAAACTTGAACTTAAAAACTGATCAGAGATGTGTTAAAGAAACGAAAACTTGCTGGGTGAGCGGAGAGAGGAGTGTCATGGGTGGTTTATCGGTTTTAAAGAGCGGTGGTTCGTGCCAGCAATGGTTTCCAAACATTCAGACACAGAGGAAATCTCAGAGTGCAAAGAACGCGCCGAGGCTCTCTGCTCTCCTGTGGCCTGAAAAGAACAGCCTCTACGGCTCGCTCTGCCTTGGCTTAGTTCCCGCGTTACCAGCAAAACAACTGCCTAGCAACCCAGCTTTTCCCACAACATTTCCTCGCACGTGTTGTGTGCCCAGAAAAAAGTATGGCACCTAATATTCTCACTGGATAATCCCCTTATTTGAGAGCTACATTCAACCCTCTGTACACACGGGAGCTGTAACTAGCAAGGCAATTGCTGTCATGACCGACAGCCCGGGCGAAGCCAAGCCGGTCCTGCCTGTGCTGCAGGCAACGCAGCAGCGCTCTGCGCCCTGAGCAGGTTGTCTGTGCATCGGACAGGCAGCAAACTTGCTGCTTCCCTCCACCACGTTTCCCCTAACAAAGGCAGGAAGCCGCGGCTGTTAGCGAAAAGGTACAGATACCCTTCCTGCCGAAAAGCCTGGTTTGCGAGCAGCGAGGGAGCTCTCTAGCACACACTTCGCAACTGTTGGAAGAGTCCATCTGAAGGCATAAATAATTCAGTGCTTTAAAAAATGTGCTGGTTTGAACACATGAAACTGCCTTCTCAGTTACCGCTTTTAAGGAACATTTACAGTCATGCAGTAGATTTACTAACAGTTACATTTTCTTATCTGACATCCCAGCTGCAGCAGCATCTTGCAACTGAATATTTCAGCTACTTTCCTGACAGTTTCAGCACCACCAAAAGAAAGAGCTGCCTTGAACCTTCTGCAGCTGTTTCTGAGCTCTGTGCCAAGAGGACTGCAGAATACCTGACTTTGCCCACATGTTGTCTGCAAGCACGAGCCTGCTCATCCCTCCGACAGACAGCACCGTTTGAGAAGCGCTGTAAATAAGCTCTAACCTGCATAATTAATACAGTACCTTTAAGCAAATGCGCAGAAATTAAGGCAGCAACTTACTTGCCGTCTTCATGACTTCCTCAGGAACATTGTCTTTTCAAATGAGTGTGACAGGAAATTGCGGTAATTACGGGCAAGCTGCGCGCCTGCAGCTCCAACCACCCGCCGCAAAGTGCAGAGGCACTCAGCGCTGGGTCGGTAAGCAACAGCCGACAGCCGCCTCCCCTTCTTCTTGTACTTTGCATGTAAATCTCGAACAGGCGCCGTGCGGAGAGCGGTGGCTTTAACACAGATCCGTGTGAAATACGTTGGCAAAAAGGCTGTGTTGCTGATGAGAGCTCTACGCTCGGAACAGCGATACTTCACCTCTGTGAAGAGCTCTGAGACCTACAGATGAAAAGCATCCTAGGTGTGCTATCATTTATTACTGATTTTATGTGGACAGGTGTTCACTGTCTTAATTAAAGGCAATACAGACCTTTTACTTCCTTTTTGTCACATAGGGATGAACTTGGACCTCTCTTGCCCTGTCTTTTGCTGCAGCGTGGCAGAGAAGAGATGTGCCCACTCACGGGTCGAGTAACTCCAAAGACAGCTCCCCATGCCCTTGCATTCTCAGCTGAGGCAGAACTTTGTCCGTAGTGAATCAGGACCCTGCTCCTACCTTCTTCTTACAACAGGGTTTCATACTAGGGCAGGCAGCTAGCTGAAACCGTGCCAGCGTCCCACAGCCTTTAAAACAGGAACTACGATCTCTTTTGTGTTTCTGAATTAGCATCTGACAGATGCAGAAAGCTGCCATTAATATCCAGCTCACAGAAATGTGCATGTAAGGCTGTGAACTCGTGGAAAAGCTCTTCTAACACCACATACTGCAGGCAGTTTGGTATGTCTTTAATTTGCCTCACCAAGCTCTGTACTTTCAAATCTGCACTTTTGTCGAAGTCACCCGCTGGATGGTTAGATAAGGTAGAGACTAGCAGCAGACCAACAAAATATTCATGGAAGTGGATGAAATGCTGTTAACTAAGTTGTAACTGCAAGAACAAAGTCTGACTGCTATGACACCTGAAATACATTGCAGGGCTGGTGTGGCTGGAGAAGACAGCCAAATTACAGAGAAGATTGTGCAGGGTTGCTGCAGGGCACATCTAGCCTACAGAACCTATGTTTCTGGGCACGAGTCAAGAAACTTGCAGAGTGCCTTTAGGATCTCGGCCTGACTCTGCAGGGTTAGTGATTAGGGAAAAGTATTCATCTGTAAGCTGAGTCAGCTCCATGACATAGACTCCAGGAGGTCCTGCTTACGCAGCTACATGTCAGACTAAAAGAATCACTGGAGACGCACATGTAAAACGAAACATCTGTGCCAGCAGCTAAAGCAAGCTAGCAATGCTGCCTTGCATAATGCAAGTAAAAGGATGCAGAGACTCCCTGAAGGAAAAATTTTACCTGGATTCAGTGAAACGCATCCAGTTTCTTTGCATTTTTCCCCGTTAAACATACCCAGTCTTTCCTCACTGCATCTGCAGACAGTCTGAGCAGCAGCGTCTGAAAAAACACAGTTTGAACTTCCTTAGAATACCTGCCTGCACCAAGTGCTCCTGCCATGAAGGTTATTTGATACCCTAGGTAACTTTGCTGCTTTTGGCCCTGCAAACGTGGACAAAAAGTAGCTTCTTCCCCTTCCCCCTCCCACCCCCCACCACCTCCAGTATCATCTTATCAGCAGATAACCGCACCAGATGATTCGACAAGAACAGTGGACATTGTGAGCTGACTGAAGTGAAAAGGCTGTCCCCTGACAAGTCAGACGTCTGCGCAATCGGTCCAGAGCTAAAGGCCCTTTTGCCCTTGAGTTTCATCTTCTGTTTCCTCTCTGGGTTCCTCTTATTGCCTTAACCCTCTTACTATTTCAAGTGACGCTTCAGTTTCCAGCTTCCTAACTTCCTTCTTACTCCTCTTACTAAAAAGATTTCTAACAAGTAATGATATAAATGAAAACAAGATTAAAGGCCTTTTTATGTCTTGGTCATTTCCGTTTCTCCCTCTCTTCTTCCCTTCAGTCCGGACTGTATAACGCAACCCCTTGGGATTGGTCTCTCTCCCTTCCACCCCTTCCCCCCTCAGCTTTTTCAGCTGTAGTCATCATTTCTCTTCAACATTTCAGTTTAACAGTGCTAATTCCTCTGTGGAAGTCTATCCAGCTGTCCTGCCCTCTCCCTCTTGGCCCATCACTCTGGCCAAGGATCACCGATCGTTTTGAGCCATCCTGCACAAACAGCAGCATGAGAGGGGGAAGAGGACCCAGCTGCTACGTCCTAGAGACCAGCTTCACACAGGGATGCGCACGTTGCAACACCTGGCTCTTAAGTGACTGGCTTTCTGTTGAACTTCAGAGCCCAAACGTTGTGTGAAACCCACAGCGCTAAAGCAGAGAGGCGCGTGACCTGTTGCTAGGAAGGAAGGCTTTCAGCCCGAGCTCTGCGAGGGGCTCAGATGCAGGTTCTGGTGGTTGACCAGCTGCCAGCGAGGTCCCTTTGAGATGCCATGTGTTATGCACCTCGCTCTTCACTGCAGGCCAGAACTTCCATCGTCTCTGTACTCACAGGCATGAACTCTGTCCTGAAACTGGCCATCTGTGCCAGTGCTTCCTCACATACATTGTCGTAGGTTCTACCATCAGAAGACCTACAGTTCTTAATCATCCACTGCTCGGACCAGTCTATGGAAGGTCCAGATTCCATTTTTACCTCCTTACAGAGCACTGCAAACCTGTGTTTTCCTATGTAGATACTCTAATGGTCAGATGTTGGGGTCGATGCAGCTTGAGAATTAGCACGACTAGGCCGCTTAAGCAAAACAGTGTGATTTAACAGGCTTGCTGGAAAAGACAGCTAAGAATAGCCATTGAGAAAGTTCTGATAGCGCACATGGTGTGGGTTAGCAAAACAAGATGTGTTCAAGGACGTGGAGGCAGTCTGTTTCTATTCGCGTTAGTGCATAGTTACCAATTATAAGGGAATGTGGGGCGTGTGAACAGCGTGTGATTTATGTCTGTAGTCTATCCGATGTAAGCGTAATCGTGTGTACAGATATGGAAAATGCATATAACTGCACAAGCGGGAGAATAAAGTGTTCCGACTGTGTATCTTAGCAATGCGTGTGAGAGTCGTTCCCATCCTTTCACAGAAGCTGAGACCCGGCATTTTGGTGACCCTACGGATTTATTATCGCAGCCAGAAAAAAAAAAGGCACGGGACTGCCAGCTGGCAAGGTGAGCCGGGCTGCCCGAGAAAGGCAGGAGCGGATCCGCGGCACACCGGGGGGGTCATGAACATCTGCAGCATGGGTTCCACAGTATCAGCGTCAGAAAACACGGCGCTGAAAAGCCTGTTGGAATTGGCAGATCGAGCCGACGTTAAATTAACTAAAGGAGACATATCGGGACTATTATTATGGTAACAAGATATTGCTGGTCTTAAATGCATATTAAAATTTACATTTGACTGAGAGCAAGTCACATACCAAGAACTTCCCTGGAAGCAGTTCAGTTCGCAGGGAAGAGATGCCAACACAGCCCCAGAGGAGCTACCAGGTTTGACCTCAGCACAGGATGGGGTTCTCTTGATTCCTTGTGTTGATAGGATTGCTCTTTGCATTGAATATTTACACATTCATGCTGAGCATCTCCTTGGCCTTGACGTTTAAGCATTCACCTAGGTTTGGAGAAACTCATTTATTGGTAGGATGTTAGGATAATAGGTAGTGGTAAGTATTCACAAGAGTGGACAGAAGAATCTGAATCTTCTTCCCCTCCCCCAATCTAGACAAGTAGTCTAGTCATGAAGTTATTGTCTTGCCCTAATTATTTCATAAAACATTTCGCAACAGAAAAGATTAAAGCTGCCTCATCCTGTAGCATAACGTAGCTAATATCAGCATCCTTAATAGAGGTGAGTTCAAAAGCTCATGAAAAGAAGATGGACTTGAACTTACACAGGTGTTTAAACTACTGTTTACTGGGGAAAATATCTTGTACATTGAAACAGGTTCACTGAATACCAAGTGCACGTAGTCTTACTGACAAGCTCAGTAGATATTTGCTTAAAACAAAGATCTCAATGTAGCTTAGCTACGTACGCTAGGTAGCAACAGACTATACACAAAACATATGCTTAACTCCTGAGGGAACTTCACTGCTGGAAAGTTGGCACACAGAAACTCCCTTCTGTGTTGTGCAGAAGTACTGCAGGGGTTTTGAAGATATGAATTTTTAACTCAGATGCCCAAGTCTTTCTTTTTCTGATGCAATACTCTTGAGGCTAAAGGTATTACTGAAATATTTTTCCTTGCCAGGAGATATATCTCCTCATGGGATTAATGGAGTTTACCCACTACCATTTTCTCTTGGGATCCAGGCAAATGTTCAGATAGATATTGATGAGATAAATATTGATATTGCTACCACTGATTGCATTTGGGTGGTGTTAGGCCATCACCTGCCAATGAGTGAATCTCTCCACTGCATTTATGCAACTATTTTCACTTGGTGAGACAGCTTGCTGTCCTTACCCAAACAAAGATAACTGCAAATAGAATCATCTTTGCTTTGGAGCAAATTCTAGCAGTTCTCAGAATTATCAGATCTGCTAAATCAGTTCTGTAATTTAGGTCTACAGTTTACATCTGAGAAGGAAGGCTGTAGAGGTTCACTGAGTGGAGAGACAAATACCTGTGGGCTAAACAATTTCTGTAAACAGTCTGTTTGATGAACACTGCCTGAAATGAAAACAAACCACAGTAACTTGTATTAAAATCATGGTTCTCTAGAGCTCATAGTACTACCTATAGTAAATAGATGTTTATGCAAGGTGATTTTTTTTTAATGAATAAGGAGTTGTTTTGGAGTTCAGCCTTTTTGTTATGCAAAGCTCTTTCTTCACATTAGCTATTCTCATTAATGGACACATCCCTGAGCAACATTTTAAAAATAAGGTTATTGCTTCTTACTTTGTTTCTCTAATTCAAACTATGTGGCTTCACTGTGTGGGAAGAGACAAGGATAAGTTT